TTTGAGTTGGTGCCTGATGCTGGTAGCATTGATCCGATGATGCTGCCTACCATGGATGGTGAGCCGCCGCGGGAGTGCGCGACCCCGGTGAGCGTGGAGGAGGCGTGCCGCGGCGCGTCGGAGACGCACGCCGGCGTGGACTACGACCACTGCATGGCGTCGTTGGGCGCCGACCCGCGCAGCAAGGAGGCCGGCAACAAGAACATGCACGGGCTGGCGATGCTGGCCACCAAGATGGCCATCGACCACGCCGCCAGCACCGAGTCCAAGATCGACGACCTTGCGGAGCTGGATGCGGAGGCGGAGTTGCCGCAGGCCCGCCGCGCCCGCTTCAACCACTGCCTGGAGCAGTACGGCGGCGCCGCCGACCTCCTCCGCGACGCGCTCGACAACCTCAAGGCCAAGATCTACGGCAAGGCCATGGAGCAGCTGACCGCCGCGATGGGCGCCTCCGAGAGCTGCGAGGACGCGTGGAAGGGCGAGGAGGAGCAGCACCGCGTCCCTGTCGCCGCGCACGACAGGGAGTACGGACGGATGGCGCACATCGCCTTCGGATTCACACACGCCACCGCCGCATGAATCATATCAATCATCATGCATCCATGAACGCTTCTCTTCTTCTTGCATCCATCCAACATCCATCATCCATCATGCATCCGGCCGGCCGGCCGGCCATCATCTCCGTCGACTCGCCGGATCGATATGATCCCTTCTTGCAAGCATGCGTGCTTCCAATGACATACATATATATAGTAGTATATTCATATCTCCATTATATATGCATCCATCTCTGCTAGCTCTTGTTGCATGCATTGGTTCCTTCATCATACATTCCATGATCCTATAGTATAGTTGCCGGCCGGGCTTGGTCGACCATGTATGCATTGATGCATGCTTTCGCTATATATATCTCGAGCAACAAGGCGTACTATCAATTATACATTCTAGTAATCATCGATTGTATTTATTTTTGTGTGATTTTCTATTTTTTTTTTCTTTATGTATGTGCTGCTGTTGGATACGTATATGTTGTAGGGTCTCCTCATCAGATGAAGAGAAACACAAGGAATAAAAAGCCTTATTCATTTATTATTAATCAGTTGTTCATCATCAGTTTTTTAGAGAGATATATATCTGTTGATATGTTTTATTTATTATTTTTCTGTTCTTTACATGTATGCATACTTTTTTCGGCAGCACTAGCGCCCAGACGTCCGGACGGACCCCCGCGTTCAGACGCACGCGCCTGCTACAACGCCCGTACCCGCGCCTGTTTCATGCACAGGTGGGGCCCGCCCGTGCCACTCCCCATGCTTCCCTGCTTCCCGCGCCCACCACTCCCCATGCTTTCCAGCTTCCCGCGCCCCTCCATGCCTGCTGCGCCACTCCATGCACGGCGCCCCAGTAGCCTACGGCAAGTGGCTCACATTGCAACATGCACAACACCCCGATCTACTTTTAAAACATCAAAATAAAACAATTGCAACATTAGTACGAACAGCTAAAACATTCAAAATATGCGTTTGAAACACATGCAAAAACACTTGAAAACAATTGCAGACATATGCAACATCTAGATAAAACACTTGCAACATATGTGTGAAATATGCAACATCCAGATAAACACACTTGCAACATACGTCTGAAAAAACATATGAAACAATGCACTACCGGATACAGGACCTTTGCCAAGTGCCAGGGGCACTCGGCGAAGCGCCAAAAACACTCGGCGAAGGGTTTGCCGAGTGTTACACTTGGCAAATGACACTCGGTAAACGTTTTAACGGCAAACGCTAGTTTGCCGAGTGTTTTTTGTCTCGCATTCGGCAAAGACATTGCCGAGTGCCAAAAAAACACTCGGCAAACTTTGTTTTTGAAAAAAAAAATAAAAATGCGCCGCGATTCGCTGCTCCCCTCGTCCATTTCCATCCGCCGCCGCCTCCGCTTCCCCTTCCTCCCCCCACCTCCCCCACGCCGTCCCCACTTCGCGCCGAGCCTCTCTACACCGCGACGATGCCTCGCTGTGCAGCGCCACCAACAAAAAGCCACCTCCTCGAGCCGCTTCGCCACAGCGACGTCGTCATCCGCGACCATCGCGGGCTCCTACTCCGCCATGCCGCTGAGCTGCGACGACCTCGCCGCGGCCACCTCTGCTCGCCGTCACCAGGAAGCCATGGTGTCGAGCCTCCACCGCCGTGCCATCCACCTCGACGAGCCTCGCCCAAGCCCATCCTTACCAGCGTCGCGCGTTGCCCGCTCCTTCCTCGTGGAGCTGCGAACGCCGACGAGCATGCCACCGGATCTGCCGCTCCTCCCTCTGCCACCACCACCACGCCCGTCACCATCGGATCTGGAGAGGAGGGCGGAGAGAAGCGGCTGACGGATCCGGGAGAGGGAGGGCGGTAGTAGAGCAGCGGCCACGGATCTGGGAGAGGGAGGGGGCAGGAGAGGGAGGCGCCGGATCTAGTGAGGGGAGGGGGCGTGCGGCTGGGGAGGGAGGAGGGGAGGGCGGGCCGCTCCGGCGAGGGAGGAGGGAAGGGCAGGCCGCGCCAGCGTCGGAGAGGGAGGAGGGGAGGGCTGGGCCACGCCGGCGCCGAGAGGGAGGAGGGCGTCGCGCGTGCGTCTTGCGCGGAGAAGGAGGGGCGTCGGCACGGGACGCAGGGAGGAGAAGGGAGGGGCCATGGGGAGAAGGGTAGGGCGTGTCCGGCTGGGGCGGTTAAAAAACATTTTTTTCCTTTGCCGAGTGTCCTAGATCTAGGCACTCGGTAAAGTTTTTTCCAATTTTTTTCTTCTCCTTCTTTCCCAGAAAAAATATTTTTTTCTTTTGCCGAGTGTCCTAAATCTGGGCACTCGGCAAAGTTTTTTTCATTTTTTTTATTCTCCTTGTTTCCCAGAAAAAAGATTTTATTTCTTTGCCGAGTGTCCTGGATCTGGACACTCGGCAAAGTTTTTTTTTCTTCTCCTTCTTTCCCAGAAAAAAGATTTTACTTCTTTACCAAGTGTAAAAAAACACTCGGCAAACCCTATCTTTGTCGAGTGTTTTTTTTGACACTCGGCAAACCTCCTCTTTACCGAGTGTTTTTTTTTGCTGAGTGTTTTTAGCGCAGCACTCGGCAAAGAGCTTGTTTGCCGAGTGCCCGAGAGAATACACTCGGCAAACATAAAAACACTCGGCAAATTTGACGTTTCCGGTAGTGTTGGGAACAGACACTTGCAACATAAGTGTACAAACATTGCAACATATGCAACATCCCGATCTACTTTTTTGCAACATCCGCATGAAACACTTAAAACATACATACGAAACATGTGAAACACTTGAAACATGCGCTTGCAACATGGGGAGCCCGAGTTGGCGATTCGGCCGTCGGCGCCAGCGTGAGCACCACCACCACCACCATCGCTAGCAGACTGGCTTTGATTGATCGGTAGGGCGGCGCGCGACGGTGCGGAGCGAGCGAGCCTTGCGCAATGGGCGTTGGATGAGTGAGCGGTGCGGGATGGGCACGCGGCAGCTGCGAGGCGGAGTGGGCGCGTGGCGTCTGGACGAAAGGCCGCCGCGTTGGAGAAGGCCAGCGGCGGGCGGACGGCGCGGTGGATGCGCCCGCGGTCGCATGCGTGAGGCAGTGGGGAAAGAAAATGTCACTGTAATTTTTTTATTTTTTTGAAGAAACCGCGTCGTACTGAAGGTGGAGCGGAGAAGGCCTGTTGGGCCCCATCGTTGGGCAGGCCAGGGAACGAGCTGTCCGAATAGAACACGCCCGGACGGACGCACGTGTGCCAGCATTATCACTTTTTTTTGTGAAACACACATTACAGACGCTAGAACTTACACTCAACTCTGCCACCCTAACGTTTCAAAAGAAGAAGAAGAAAACTCTGCGACCCTAATGAACTTTCAATTTTCATTCGAACTGTTGACTGCCCACAGTCCACAGAGTTTGAAATTGTCATATTCTTTTTTGTTTCTGAATCATGTGTAATTTTTGTTTCAGTTTTAACTGAAATATCTTGTCTACCGTAGATACGTACAATTCTGGATAATTTGAATATCCTATTTATCAATGTTTTTTTTTGTGATACCAAGTAAAGAAATTAAAACCAAATAAAACAAAACATGTTGTCTTTTACTGAAAGAATAATTAAAGATAATCCATTAAAACAAATCAATATTGAACCCACATGGATGTGTGTTCCACCGCAAGTGACCTAGCTCTAATTGATCCTACTACCGTGGTTGCACAACAAACTCTGCATTTATTCAGTTGCATGCAAATGCAATCCTATCGAGGGAGATTCGCAAGGAGAAAATTGCAACGACCTTGAGCAACAAACGATCCAACAGGATGCTTGCACGCTTGAGCGATCGACCTTGGCTGGGATCGGAGCTAAGCTAGGGACAAAGCACCAGACACATGACCCTACTGTTTTCTTCGGTCGGGTCCTCTTCAAATTAATTTGCCGATCCATTAGTATTCGTGCAAATGCAATCATTACTCTGCTTTGGCAGCTTAATTTGCTTAACGACGTAATACATATATTATATATACTACTCCCTCTATTTCATTTAAATTATAAGATGTTTTGGCTTTTTAGATACCTCTTATAATTTGGAATGAAATATATTTGTCAAGTTGAACGAAACCATACTTATCCAAACCAACAAGGCAAATGCCAATAAGGAAGGATCCCGTTTTCTTTCGCTATCACCACACCAGGCCGGCTCACTTGTCACACGTCACAAAATTCGAACCTCCCTACATTATTTAAAAAAAAAATACTTGTTTGCTGTCCACCAAAGTTATATATGCACGGGACTCCAACAAGTAGCAGATGATAGTAGCTAGCATGCAATTGCAATGTACTATCACAAGATGCCACCACCACCACCTTGCTATTGCTCCTGTGTCTCTGTTCCATTTTTCTTCTCCTCCTTGATAACAATAACAATCCTCCTCCTACAACAGAACAATCCCTCGGCTGCAGCTGCAGCTTCAGCCATGGCCACCACCAACACAAAGTTTGGGCCGTCGCAGTTGACTGACGTCGTAACCGACACCTGCGAGAGATGCAGCCAGGGCAACCCACAGGTGAACTACACCCTCTGCGTCTCATCTCTGTCGTCGGACCCCGAGAGCAGGCAGGCGGACCTCCACGAACTCGCCATGATCTCAGCCAAGCTGGTGAGGTCAGGCGCGGTGGGCATGGAGGCCAAGATGGCGGAGCTCAGCAGGAAGGAGAGGCCATGGTCTCCCCGGAGGTCCTGCCTGGAAGCGTGCACGGGGGTGTACCACAACTCCCTGTACGACCTCGACAGCTCCATTGCAGCCATCGAGGAGAGGAGGTATGCGGACGCCAAGACATCCATGAGCGCCACGATCGACGCGCCCGTCACCTGTGAGGATGAGTTCGAGGAGCAGGGCTTGGAGCCACCCATGAAAGCAGAGAGCAAACACCTGTTTCAACAGGCGGTCATCACCCTCGCCATCATCTCCTTCTATGATACATACAGTACTGCTACTACTGTGCAACTAGCTAGCTAGTGCAAACTCCAATATGATATATGTTTATCAGCATGATATTATGCCTGCAAGAAACCAGTATGTAAGACAGAAGTGGTGCTAATTAATTGGTACATATGCCGATCAATTCTCCCGAGGTCCCGCCTGACGTTTCCATTTTATTTATTACCAGTTATACATGCATTAATTCTACGTCTAAACCAGACAGTAGTGATGCTAATTAATTGCATTGCTTGCTCTTGACAATAACAGCACCTATGTCACATGGACCAAGCCTGCAACAATCCAACTTTACAAGGACCTCCACAAACCACCATTCTATAGCTTTGCAATCTAGAGCTATCCTTCAGTTAACTTCAGTCGTGGAACAACATTCATCGCTTGCAACTCCTAGCAAAAATTAACAAACACACATGAGGACAACCGTTCATTAATGGCCTATTACAAACATTGCACCACAACTCCAACAAAGCAGTGCAATACGGCAATACCTGGAACAAAAGCTTGCAAGCATATGGCAGCCTCATCTTGGCCATATTTTCCCCGTTCTTGCACATTGAACAGTGCAGAGTCTTCAGTTTGTGATTGTAGTCCCGCAACAAGCCACATTTTCTGCAAACCTGCCCCCAACATTCAGATCCATAAACAATGTGAGCCCACAGCCAATGCCCAATACAAGTGCTTTGTGATGGCACTGGTCAAATAAATCTAAAATCTACCATGTCATGAACAATGTAAACAGGGTTAACTTTTTTGAAATGCTCGTCCATTAACGGATTAACATCTAATACATCAAATTTATTTTCCTGGATAGAGCCTTAAATGCTTAGCCACCTGATATTGTGTTAGGTTTCATAATCATACTAATCCTAATACAACATCATGAGCAATTATGCCCCTTGAACAATTCCAGCTTCTTCCAAAAGGAAATAAACTACTTCGAAAATCACCTGGACTTGATATGGATCACTGGATAGCAATAGACGTTCAAAGATGAGCATGCTAGCACCATATGCAATCAAACAGTCACGCTCCATTTCACCATGACGAAGACCTATAAAAAAAGAAAATATTAAGCAAGGGCAACAAGATAATCAACAAGAAAGGGTACAGGGGCAAAGTCATATAATTGCAGAATATTTTAGTGTTGCAAAACCTCCATCACGACTTCGCCCTTCAGTAGGTTGCCTGGTCAATAACACTCGTGGTCCACTAGCTCGAGCATGCATCTATCAAGAACCTGGAGAATTCACATGTCAACAAAATTGTTTACGGATTCAACACCACCAAGTTTTCTTGTAATGTGTTTATAAACCTAATAAATTGCAATGTTATGGGAGTACTTTTCAGTGGGAATATCCATGGCGTTATCTTTCACCCCTGTTACTCATGGGCATATAGATAACCGGAGTTTAAAAGGTTAGATTAGACAAGTCTCAGAACAAAAGTACATCATGACAAATGGCAGGTTTAGAAAACAAGGCCTCAATTAAAGCCAAGCAAAAAAAAAAACAATACAGATAAGCTATCCCTACCATGTGCTTCAGTTTCTGAGAGTAGATTGGCAAAATCAGCTCTGAAGATCCATTGCAGGCCCAAGTAGCGAGGATGCTCACAATACAAAAAGAAAGCCATCTAATGTTTAAGAAATAAGAAATATGATGTTGTTCCACAGAAATTTGCATAATTAGAATAATGTAAGACAGCTACAGAAGCTGTAGAACCCACCATTTATCTAGATTTCCTAAGTGGATAATATAACTATAAATTTGTGTATGTTTACAAACTAGTCTGATCCAAAATACATGCAGTTTTAGAATTTGGAATGTCAAACTTTTTTTTTCACTTCGAGAATCAATACATAAACAAATACATAGGTTCACAATTAAAAATAGATGTTAATAGATTCACCATGGAAAGCATTTTCAAAAAACCTAATTACCTTTATTTGCAATGTCACAATTTTTTGTTGATCTGACCATCACTGATTCTCACTGTATATATTGATAAATCTGACAAGAACTACTACACAGCTATTGATCCATTGAATGCAACCGGTGAAAGTTGCAGTTAGACATCAGTAGGAGATAAACAGAGGAAAAAGAAAACAACAATCCCCTGAGAATTCTTATCTCATCAGGATTCAGCAGAGAGACCTGGATGCTAGCATATACTCGATCACATTGCTCGTAGAATAGGCGGATCTCTGGTCTTGCAATCTGATCTGAGGAGTGCCTTCGAGGTCATGGAATGTCAGCTTCATTGCCTTGCCAACATCAGTTTGGACTTTGGAGTGCTTCTGCAGATCAGTTGGCAGTAAGGGAGCCTGGAACGCAAGTGCTAACATAATGTGGGCAGCAGAATTGTCTATCTGATCATTTGGTTCTTGGAATTGGAAGAATCTATCTTTGAGACAGACAGGCAGACAGTGAAAGAATCTGAGAGAGCAACACGATGAGAAAAGCAGAGCAACCCCTGCTCACTGGCCACTGGTTGTGTGGTTACCTTCATTTCCTTCTACTGAGTACTGAGTACTGGCTACTTGTCGACGGCGAGCTGCTGCACCCTGAGCTCCAGCTCCCGGATCCTCGCCGCCCACTCGGGCCTTATCACCACAGGCCTCACCTCCCGGACTTCCACGTCGCCACCCGCCGGCTTCTCCTTCCCCTGCCGCTGGCGCGCCGCCGGCTTCTTCATGTCTTTCTTCTTGTTCCTGGCGGCCTCCTTGGCCGCGGCGGCCCTCTGCAGCGCGCGCAGCACGTCGGACCCCCGCAGCTGGGGCGCTGGCGAGGCGGGACGTCCGGGGGAGGGCGTTGGCGCCTCCTCGTCCTGCTTTTGGCCGAAGAAGCCGTCGTCGACGTCGGAATCTGAGCCGCCGCCGTCATCGTCGTCCCACGAGCGTTCGCGGTGGGAGCCTCGGCTCGAGCGGCGCGGCTTGGCTGAGACCGCGGTGGGCGCGTGCGGGTGGGGGTACAGACTAGGGACGAGGCAGCGTGCGGCGGAGAACATCAACATCGGATGGGATGATAGTGACTACGGACGAGGCGTGCAGGCTCAGGAGGCTGAGGCTGGACAGGATCGGTTTTTCTGCAGACAAGTCTTCAGTTCCCTGTTCTAAAGTGCACAAAGTTTCCGTGTCTTTTTATTGCTTTCTACTCCGTACTTGACAAATGATATATCGGTCTATATCTATCAGCATGTTCGTTTCGTGAAGTACTGCTGACTGATTTGATGTGAGAGAAAAATATTGTTACAGCTTATAATCCACGATCGTATAAGCCTAAACGAACAGTATATATATATATATATATATATATATATATATATATATATATATATATATATATATATATATATATATATACACACTAAGTATTTCTTTGTGTTTTGAAATTGTGTTTCATTTAAATGGTGTTCGATTTTGCACGAAGCACTACACAATTAGGGATGTGCTTGCGGTGGCTTCTGTAACTAAAATCAAAATGATGTAAGTCCTTGTAAACTTCCTGGCGGGCCGCTTGAAGGCCAATATAATATAATACAGGTGGGGAACTCCCCCTGAAATTCAAAAGAAACTATATTTTATTATCTAAAAAATTTCTCACCTGTCTCCACTCGCTCTTATCAGTTTCACAGTCATTTCTTATTCTCACTCTTTTTCTTGGATCCTTCGATCCATTGTTATCGTTTTTTGAGAAGTTAAACATACTTAACTTCCACTAAATATGTAAAAAAAATATTAAAATTTATAGTGCACAATTAGTATTATTAGACGGATTGTTGAATATGTTTTTATAATAAATTTATTTAGACATATTAATGTTGTTAATATTTTCTATAAACTTAGTCAAAACTAGATAAAGTTTGACTGACATGCATCCACGGTTATATTTAAATAGAGACGGATGGAGTATTCACTGGCGTCATCAGCCAAACCTGAGCTCATGCACGTTTGTGACATGACTTAGACTAGGCGAGCATGTGTATACAACGATTCCTACGAATACATAAGTAGAGACGTGCGGATCCTATAAGCTCGTTCTAGTCGTCTCTAGAACCTTTTTTGTAACAGTGGTAGGATAACGTGACCGAATAAAGAGGTCTTGGCCATCATATGGCATTGATAGAAAACTCTCTGTCTATTGGTTACCATCTACAAATTATTCAATCTTTTTTCTGATTGAGACGAGATAACTAGTGTAGTTGAACAAAATATTAAGGTCATGTTTAGAATGTGTCTACAGGTTACTTAACATGTCCCAAGTTAGACACATCATAGTTTCTTATGTGAGTGTTTGTGTTTACACTAAAATTTGGAAGAACAATCGCAGAGACTCGAAAAGTTCCCAAGACCATGTCATCAAGGGATCAATTGCATGCAGGTGGGTATCAGCTGATTCGAATGCAACACTGGAATCGGCTTTATTCAGATAGCGTCAGCAAATAACGACAAAGGCTATGATCGGCGCCGGAACAAAACATGTTGGACTTCCCAAAAAGGGAAAGATTATGGTCAAAGTTATCTTAAATTCAGAATATTTTCTCTTAGGCCAAAAATTGTGATGAGTCGTGTTTAGTTAGGAGTCATGCGTAGGTCCCGGGTATAAATATTGGACCCCGGCTATTGTAAAAGGACACACAATTAATCAAATACAAGTTAGGCCCCGTTCGGCTTACCTTATATCCGGCTTGTTCGGCTTCTTTTTCAGCCGGAACAGTGTTTCTCTCTCACAACATTTCAGCCAAAACAGTGTTTTTCAGCCACTTTCAGCCAAATTTCAGCAAGCCGAACGAGGCCTAAGGCCACCCCTTAGGAGTAGGAGTAAAGTAGATCTCGGCGAGTTCTTCAGCAAGTACGGTTGCATCGATCCGGTCGACCTCCACTGCTTGTCTGTAAGTACCGTCATGGCTTATACTTCTGTTCGTACGGCTGCATTGATCCGGTCGACCTCCACTGCGACTCCGGTATAAGCTAGTTATCGACTTTTGTCTAGTTCAAGTAAGGCTGCATCGATCTGGTC